TTCATATAATTATATATTGCTCGTCCATCTTTAAACATATAGTTTTACTCATTGCACGATAGTAAAAAACTGCATGATCTTCGTTGGACTGTAACCACGTCTCCGTATAAATTATTTAATTTCAATAATTCGTAAATTATGTAATCCAACTCATAAGTGGCTCCACCAACGAGTGACTTCTCAGACAAATTTACGGCCGTACTTGCGGCCGGTCTCGCGGCCGGACTCTGTACCTGGAATATCTCCCAAAGTACTGAACGTAGCTCGATGAAACTTGGTACACATATTCATTATGGCCTAACGGTGATGTCAAGCTCGTGACAATTTTTTAAATATCGCCTTCATTCGTGAGTTATATGACGAAACGTGCCGAAATTTGCAGTGTACCAGAGATTTCTTCTAAAATACTGAACAGATTTCAACGAGTGACAGTTTTCTTAAATTACTTGCTGAGCACTTGTTACTGTTTGAAGGAACATTAAAGCTTATACACGGGGTCAGTATTAGCTGCGAGCATTTGCTGCAAGTTTTCGCTCTCCAAATTAAATATATTACCATCATTCTTTTCACAGACTGGGAAATGCGGGCTCCAACTAGGAACTGAGTCAGCCTTTAGCATTACCATGTCCTTCGTATTCGGAAAGAAGTTTCCACTGAAGACTCAGTTCGACAAATTGTGAGAAACTAAAATGAACGTAGCAACTAATTATTTTTCTTTGCACATGTTTATTGCGGTTCAATCTAATGCAGGGTGATTCACGGAAACTAAATACCTGCTGATTTGAAAGCTCAATAAAAAAATAACTAGTAAACATATCAGTATGATATGAATTTTATTGAAGACATCACCTGAATTCTTGTATCACTTAGTTTTAAAGATGATATCGGACAAATGACGGCCCTATTGTCAATGCATTCAGTCAGTGGATTTTCGAAGTCAAGTTCAACTTGCTGAAGCATATTGACTGGTATGTTGGCGATGGTGGGTAGGTATGTTGGCCAAATGAGGTATAGGATCCTGGAGTTGGGACAGTCAATGTAAACAATCGATTTAAGATAACCCCATAAAAATTACACGGAGCCAAATCCGAGGATCGGACCGGCCAAAGAAGGTCGATGAGATGAGACGCGATGCAAAATGTTGTCTCATAAGATTCATTGAATATCGCGCTGTGTTGGCCGTGACTCAATCCTCTTGTTTTCAAGTTATATGGCAGTCCGCTGACCTCTAGACCCTCATGCATTCACACTTCCACTTGCCCTCAATGTATTCACCCACGCAACAATCGATTTCCGATCAGGAACATGACCTGAATGACGAATTTGGAACCACATACGGAATGTTCGTTGAGTAGCGATCATGGAACGGCTATTAGAAAAGTACGCCTCGACAGCAAATNACTGTGGAATAGCTGTCTCTTATACACATCTAGATGTGTATAAGAGACAACCACTAAACTAACTAACTGTCCGCAATGCAACGCGACTAAATGGATATCAGGTCTTCCCGTTGTGTTAATTTGAAGTGTGAGGGACTGAGTTTATGAAAAATGCAACATAATATCAGTTTAAATTAATTCCGTGCCTCCTCTTTATCGCATCACGATGACATTATGAAGCATTGAATAGAACCATTATTTTTGACGTTTCATGATTGTTTTGCACCACAATAACGTCACATTATCATAATTAAACATTTAACAGGGCACCACTATTAAAATTTCGTTGTGTTTCTTCAACAAAATAATGTCACGATAACATCGCAAAGAATTACATATACAGAGCACTGCCTGTGGTCTTTCGAAATTTCTAAGCAACACAAAAACATCACGGTTGCATCATAAAACATTTATTAAAGCACTAATTTCAACGTTACGTTACGTTGAAATTAAAGCACCAAAATTTCGCGTTCTCCGAGTACGTCTTCATGGACTATACGAGCATCGCCTACAAGGAACCTGTCGTTGAGCCGAACATGGCTGGATTCTTGTTGCCCTTTACGCTGAAGGCAAGGAATACACTTGTGCAAATGAAAATAATGGAAGAAAATACATTACATGTGTTTAGAGTGTCAACTTATTTATAGAACAAATGACTGTCCTATCGAATCTACCTCCACTGAACAGATCATGATTTTTAAATTGGAGAATGTGCTCATAATGATTGAATTATGCTTGTTGATGCTCAATTAAGCCATCCAGAGGGCTAAAGTAGATGTAGGTATGGCAAACATAAGCTGTAACGCATGCCTATGAATTTTATAATGTTAGTTTCAAAGTTGCCCAGTAGAGCCTTTTTATTTATGTCAACTGTTGTTTATCAAGTAGGCCAATAAAATATGCCAAACTCTGAGACTCCATTTAAACTCAAATTTTGTTATAGACAGATGTCCGGTGAGATTTTAATTTTTAATTTCATCGAAACCCGCTATTCTCGCAAGTCACTGTCCATTTAGTGGTGGAATTTTTTTTCTTTTTTTCGATGATTCATCTAATCTTGAATTGTCGAAGGTGTGGATTTTGGTGGCCGTTACGTTAGCGCTGGTCGTGATCGCACTTCGTTGGACTCCGGACTTTGGAAGGTAATAACAGCTCTAGGTCAAATTTATAAAAAATTTTAGTGATTTCAAACAAAGCTTGGAATAACACAACTAAAGTAAAAATAATAATCAGTTACTGCCTACATTGAAAAATGGTATACATTTAGTGATGAACACGTTAGTTGCAAAAAATATTTTTTTGGGGGGGGAACATTATACAGAACAGGGGGGGAAATATACAGAACATTATTATATACATTATTTTGTTTACCAAATAAGATGTTATTATGATCCAATTAACATAGCTTGGTTTCACAAATAAATGTATCTCATTTGTGGGATTTTTAAATATAACATTAAGTCTGAAGGCATGCACATATTATTGAAAGTTTGCAATGTGTGATGCTTCCGACAGGACTGATGTTGGCGGTGCCATCGAGAAGGTGCATCGGCCGGTCAGTGCACTGAGGACGATCGGGTTGCTTCTTGGCCAAGGTAAGAAGTCTAATAATTATATAATTAGCAAAATTAATAAAGAAAAATAGTTAAAATGAGTTTTTATAATAATAAATGATTATTTTAATGATTTTTTCCGTATGGGAACGATTGGTAATGAAGATCGAGATTCGATCTGAGTTTCGGCCAAAATATGTGTCCTGTTGAAGCCTTATTAACATGACCCAATAAATTTGATATTGAAATGCCATCAATTTTATTTGTGTCTTGAAATTATAGAATTAGTGAAGAAGCAGTGCACTCTACGTTGACAACGGCTAACGATGATGGTCTAGTGTTTTGCTTAAGCAGCGTCTAGCGTTGTGCAAATGCATAATTATGGTACCATTGCAAATCCAAGTATTTAAAAGCAAAATACGAATAAATGAATAAAAGAAAATGTCAAAAAATTCATTATAATTGTGATTTATGATTGACATTTTCTTTGCTTCTAGATTCTTGGTTATTTGTGAACTAAGCCAACTAATGTTATATCGCTACCAACTTGCAAAAACTTTTAGTATTCATAAACATATTTAAAGAAAGGCTGTTGCGTTTAATTCTACACTGATTTTGCGCTACCGCCAACTCAATCGACAGGAGATCCAGCAATGCGAAGTCAGTCATTATCGATGAGACTCATGCTCGCAACTTGGCTCCTAACCTCGCTGGTCATCAGCTTCTGCTACAGAAGCAACCTCGTTGCTCTGCTCAGCGCACCGAAGGTCAAAATCCCGTTTGATAACATGGAAGAACTGGCAAATCAAGATGAATTCCCCATCATGACTCACGCGGCATCTTTCATTGCACTCGCTCTCCAGGTATGCAAGTTTAGTGAAATATTCGATAAGGATATTTTACAACAAGTTGAGTTGTCTACCAAGTTTAATGAAATGTGAGGGAATTGAAGTTGGGAGCCATGAAAAATTAAGACATAAATGAACTTATGTCTTAATTAATGTCTTATGTCATAAGTGTTAATAAATTAATGTGTGTTGCGTAACATGTAATGGAGAAGTATACTACTTAAACTGAACAAACTACTATAATATTATACTTTTGCTCTACCAGACAGCTGCTCCAGGGACCCTCATGAATAAACTCTACAAAAAACTGGCAGGCTACGAAAATAGACCCGACGTCGTCGTATCTCAAGTGATCGCCGGAGACTACGCATTTTTGGGACCGCGAACTGCATTTCTCGGGACTATGGCTTCACATTTTTCTCGAGTGCGGATAGTTTATTTCTCGCATAGTAACTAACAAATTATTACCAGACGTATTATTTACTCGTGCCATAAAATGAGTTATGAAAATTAGATGCATTTTCCGTAGCATCGTAACCCTATATTCAAACCTCTCTTCCTAGATCGTAGATAGTGATAATTATGATCAAAACGGAAGAAAATGTATGTGTCTGAATTCCTAACTCAAACGAACAAATAGGTAGCTCCTTCGTAGTGTGAAACATTCTATTTAGGTATGAAAACAAAGTTCTTCTCAAATTCTGTTGAATCAAATTGAATTAGGAGCACTCGTTACTATTTGAAGGAATCTGCACTTTACAGACGGGGACGTGTGGGCTCCAGCTTGGAACAGAGGCGGCGCTCGGCACTACTATGTCCTACGTCTTCGGGAAGAAATTCCCACACAAGGCTCAGTTCGACAAATTGTATGAAACAAAAATTACTTAGTAAAGCGTTATTTACTCATACAAGATGAGTAATTCAGCCTGATGTGAATAAATGATACATTTATTTTATTCTATGCATTTATCGCTCTGCTAATTCATCGATACGAACGATACGCCAAGAACTGAAATGATGAAAAGTTAAAGTCGAACTGTGTTTTAAAAAACAGGTTCAACTACTTGGTGGATAAAAGTACCAGATGCTATTTTAAATCGAATAATATTTTCTTTTTTCTAAGGATTGTTCGACTACGGGAATCCGGCATTTCTGAGAAATTGTTGCAAGACGCCATGACTCGCAACGTGACGGTCTGCGAGAAGCCTGGTGCTAGAGTCATGAGTGAGACCAAGCTGAGGGCTCTGGAGATGAAAGACTTCTTTGCTGTCTTCGCTATTTTCCTCGGAGGTAAGTTCGATCAAATACAAAGTCCAAGCACACCGATTAATTAATCTTTTGAATAGAACTACTATAATAATTAATTTTTGACTACTGGTACTATTTTACTAATAATGTAATAACTACAATTTTTTATCATTACTTCAAAATTGCTATTTAGTCGCGAGAGATAAAGAAGCGAGAAATTACTTAAGGGAAGTCTATTGAAATGAGTAGCGCTTGTTTAAGTTCACATAAATGAGTGAATAAACAAAACTTTCGTGCTAATACGCCAACATTTTAATATTAAATGCCCAAATTGACAACTACCCACGCTAACGCTCACGCACGCAGGGCGGATTAGTCGTGATACGAAGCACTAGTTACGCTGCATGATGACTAAACTGAATATTTCTCGACAGAAGTACCAGAACACAATTGTCAAAAACTGTTCCCATCCGAGTTTCTCTTTAAAAAATTGAAATTTCAGCTAAATACGCATTTTGTGCTGTTAAATGCATTTATGATACTGATTCATACGTTATGTTGTCTGTAGTTCAAAACACGATGGTGCCGCTGAGTTGCACGTTTAGGTTGTATCGTATTCGTAGACCGTAGTCAGTGCGAGTAACTTCTCTTCAAAGAAAATTTCTTTCAGGCATGATTGCGTCTGCCATAATCTTCGTTATGGAAGTGATTCTACATTCTGCTACACGAAATACAACTGGCACGAGACCTGATGGTTCATGGTAGAATATTAGGACATTTGCATGGAAGACTCCAGAATTGAATCCCCAAACAAAACCGACCTAGAACTATCAAGTTGACTTTAACGCAAGGTACTATACATGGAGCAAAGCAGACTGACTCTCAAGATCCTTGATATTTACAGCACTGACTTCTCATTGGACTGGTGCGAAAGTTTTACATGAAATTCTACTAAATTCATTATTAGACCTAGAAAAAATGATTGCTATTCCGAACTAAATTCCGCAATTGAACGAATCCTGGGCGCGTTCCCAAAGCTCTTAAAACGATGTCTGTTTTACATTGTGAATGTATTTTCCAGCTGTCATAAAAGCTCGGGCGTTATATTGTAATTACAGGCTCTGCAGACTCGCGCTTCTTTAACCCAATTATGCACTAATTATAGCGCTGAAATGCGAAGAGGCATGATGCCACGTTGAAAGTGGTTAAGGTTTGTAACCGACATATAGGATAACCGAAATCAAGAGAAATAATTTATGGAAGACCATTTGAAAAAGTAATTTGAACTAATGAAGGACACCTATTTCATACCTTGCGGCTTAGAGGATTGGAAAAGGCAACAGTGAAAAACAGTTTTTGAGAGCGACTTTATTGATCAACGCCATGTTTTGGGCGTCTAATCAAAGAGACCGAAGCCCATGTCGTCGTCACTCTCTTCCGCGGGCTCTTCTTTAGCAGCTTCCTTCGCAGCGGGGGCGGCCGCAGGGGCGCTGCTGGTGTCAGCGGCGGGAGCAGCGGCAGCTGCTGCTTGTATGGCGGCGAGTTTGCTTGGATCCTGCAAATTTTGAATTAACTTATTCTCAGGCACAAGTCCACGCACATAAAAGAAATAGATAAATGCATAAAATGTTCAACCATCATCTTTTGAGGGCCTGAACATCAGCAGCATCAAGAATTTGCCGAGCGCTGAATATTACGAGAATTTCTCATGTTATAATATTAATTAGGTTTTGACTTACGGCAAGAATTTCCTTCAGAGTTTGTGCTTCTTTGAAGGAGTACTCCGTAACAGCAGCAATTGCCAAGAGTTTCTTGAATCCGTTGACGACGGAGTGAGGCACTGATGCGACGGTAGGATAACCGATAGCGAGCGACACGGCGGTGATGGCAGTCAGCCCTTCCATGAAACTCTTGACGATATCTTCATCCTTGATGTCTAGCACCTTAGGTGAGAAAACTGTGCCCTGGTCATACACGTGCAGGACGACCAAACCGTACGTGAAAGGGGAGATGTTCAGCATGTTCAGCAAGGTACACTCGCTCAGACCCACTTTATCGCCTTCTTTCAGCAACTGGATGTCGTTCTGAATGAAAAAAATATTCAGTATNCTGAACTAAATTATTTGACACTACGCCAATTGAAATCGAGATGGAACTTTAAAGCGAGCTGCCACACGTGATTTTAGATCATTAGACGGGACCATAACTAAATAAATACTTACCACAATTTCAATAGTACCCCTGGCAATCTTGGTGGGGATCTGCAGAGCCTGGAAGAAACTTGTCTTCTCGGGACCAAGGCCAGTATTCTGAGCAGGCACAGTCACGATGCAAGGCGCGATGGCACCGGGACGGGCAGGCGCACGCTTCTTGTTCATCAGAAGCAGATCACGCACTTCGCACAGATCATCGTTGGTGAACACCAGGCCCACGTTATACACGATCAGAGGCAGCAAACTGAAATAATATTTTATTTTAAGTAATGCAGTACAGTCAATACTGAGCGGTTGGTAGAATCCATGTGATTTCGACCAACTCTTTGCAGCAGATGCTAATTTTGCTCGACTAGGAATCAATTTCACTGTAGAGATCTACCTAAAAAAATACAACTCCGTACTCACTGCAGTGAGTGACAAGAGAGCGCTTTTTCTCGTAGACGAAAACTTGAGGTCACGGACGGACGGACAGACGGACGGACATGGCGAGCACAATAGTGCATTTTTTCCATAAATAGAAAATGCGCTAAAAAGGTCAACCCTAACCCATGACAACAGGGTTTTCGAGTCAAGCATCAATCTTCACCAATCCACATTAAAATTTCAATAAATAGCATCTAACAAAACATTTTTGACAGACAAGTGGATGATTATCAAACCAAACTATACCTTGCTCGATTAGAATTAAAACCACAACTGTACACAGAAGCTATGAGGTAATTTATCCAAATATTGTTGTAGGACTATATTTATTGTGCTACCAGCCACGTTTTGGGCCTGAGGGTGTTTGCTGCAAGGCTGTCAAGAAAACAAGGAATTGGTGATGGTCTCCACCTCCCCTACAACCATCCCAAACCACCTGTTTATTAGAAATTTCCTTGTGTTTATTTAACAATTTATTTAATACAACAAAAAGAACCAGGTATATACAGTGAACAGAGAAGAAAAGAACAAGCACAAAACCGAGGCTCGGGGGTCTATAACCTCATATAATGGTATTTTCAAGTTTGCCTGCTTTACCCAGTCTGAAAATAAAAAAAAAGATTAACATGTTAAACCTAAGGAGTGCACTAATCCATAAAAAATATCAGTTACATTAACTCTAACGTGTTTAAGTTAGTGATGCATATCAAATAGTGAGCAGTCTACTATGATGTCAACACTGAAATTGATACATACTTTTGATTTAATTTCATACTTTAATTTCACATGACATTGCATCTCAGGAGAGTGGGGTATGCAGGACCCCTAGTAGGAAATCCTACTTCCTTGCAGTATCACTGAATGGGCTTCCCACAATATCAAACCCAATAAATGTGGACTATGAATAGCAAGTACCCTCAGCATCATGCAATTTGAATATTTTCAATTCCCTTGATACACAACTGTGCAAAGAATGGTCCTGCATATTTCATGATAAAATGCACAAAATTCATGACACCGACCTGTAGTTGTCAAACAAGCTTGTAACCTTGGTGAAGTAGGATGCTTTCCAGGCAGCTCTGTCCCCCTTAACCATCTTGAATGTGATTAGGGGCCCGTGTTGTACTCGGAATTAAGGACTGAAAAATTTAATGATCAGTATATTAATAATGTTCACAATGGTCAGAGTTTTAATTAATGTCAACAATCAAGCAGAACACAAATGGAAGATATGCTTCTTAAAATTATAGCTTCTACATTCAATATTTACACGGCTTCCATCTAACTGAATTCTGAGAAGGGAGTCTTCATCGAGAACTGAGAAGTAAGGGTACTGAATGTTTTGTTTTAAACACAAACCATTAATCGATTGGGAAAAACCACAACAAATGTGGCTCCAGAAGTGAAGGCTAATCAAATATTAAACCAATTCAAAAAGATTAGTTAATTACAGCATGTACAAGACAATTAAATGCCAAATATTCATAAATATATTCCAGTTAAGCATTTCCTAACATAAACATAATACAGAATAATACATATGGACTTGCTAACTTAAGTCCTGGAATCCTACGGCAGTGTAAGACCACAGTATATCCACAGCAACAAGTGCTGTGGCAATTTTAGTGACTTAGAAGTTAAATGTGGCTCAGAGCCTCTGTCAGGAAGTAAATTATTTAGCAGTTGGCATAGCCAAGATTAGCTTTTTTGATCCAAAACATTCAACGTTAATTTCAAACGAGATATCCATTGGAAAATACATGTTATACAGACTTTAAACGAGACCTAAAACTTGAGGTTTGGTTATTTAATAATGAATATTAGTTCAAGTGATGCCCAATAATCCATTATCTTTCATCTCATTTACTGGTAGCTTTTGAGCTTTTCAACTTGTGCCTAATTCCACTGCCAATAAGTGTACGAAGTTGAACACTAGAGTCTGCAGTGACTGAAATTTCCATCAGAATCTTTAACATCAATGCCACTAACATTGCCACATCTTTCAAGTCTCCAGATACCAGCCTTAAATATTAGAAGCTTAGGACCATTAGGAAACGGCAGAAACACAGATTTCTGGGGAGATCATTAAAATCAATGCAATTCTACTATAATGTGGCAATCCAATCCTACAAATCCAGGAATCCTGGTTATCACCAGTCTTTCAGTTACCTAATAGGAAGTCAGCCACATGGAATTCAAGGTCAATACAAATGTTTATAAATATCATTTTGGATCTAAAAACATGGTAGGCTACTCAACTTAACCAATCTTGGGAAATATTTGAGAACCAAAATGGAAATTGAGGTTGAAACCATGAATAAACAAGACAAAAACATCAATGATTGTGGCCTAGTCTAGCATGGAAAATGCTGTTCAAGCTGAGACTAGAGTTTTCCCATAATTTTCAGATGCACAAGATTTTAGCTAAATGAATTATATCCCACCTAATTTTTACTAAAATTTCACAATTGGGCTGTAAGATTCAAATTTACAAAAAAAAAGTGACTGTAAAATTGTTTCAGGCATATGAAAATTCAAATCTAGCTTGTGGGTAATTTCACGTGACCTACCAACTCCTATGATGGGCAATGATGACCCATGACTGATTTCTAAAATAAAAATTATGGAAAATTGCGTATGCCCAACTATTTACAAAAAAAATTAAGAAACAAACATTTTCATCCAGAACATTTGAAAAATTCTCATCATTATTCCAAATTGATAAAAAAGTGGCCAAGTGAGCAAATTAGCTAGCAACAATTACAAAAAATTGGTACCTACAAGTTGCCCATGAACAAATTTTAAGAAATAAAAACAGTCCTATCGGAATACTAACAACATTCAATTTTATTTATTAAAAATTAGTAAAATAGTACATTTTAACATTATGTTTAAAAAATTTCCTTTTAGCCTCCTAGACCTAGGGTTAACGTGGTATATTCCGACACTTCTTAACTTTTCTCCTTTATATAAGATTTGTCTTAGTTCCATGCATTCGTTGATGGTTGAAATAGTGACATCCTACTATTGCCAAAACACTAGGTCTGGGCCGTCTGATGGGAAAATGTTAAGATCCAAAGACAGTGCACATCACCCAGTGAGAACATTGAAAAACGTGTCAAAATTGATACCGTAAAATGGGGTAACTTAGACCGGCGGGGTAACTTAGACCACTTTTCATTTTTTTAACAAAAACCCCCACAACTCAAAAACTATTTGACAAAGAAATGGAATCACGGCTGGCAAATCCATAAAACCACGGCTCGAAAAATTCAGTCGCGGCTCGCCAAGTAGATATATTCCATACTAGAATAGGTATATTAGTTATCCTTTAAGTATACTTGTGACAGTCAAGTATACTTAACAGTTGACAAATGACAAGTTAAGTTGACTTCACTTAAGTCAAGTGACAGTTTTAGACACATAAAAACTAACTCCGACACAGCTTGGAAAAATTAAAATTTTATTGATTAAAAGCTTAATAGCTCTTAATTAGAAGCTTAATTAAAAAATTAAAATTTTTAAATAAGGCTCGTTACGAGCTGTGTCGTATTCCGATTCCAATACAGGGCCCCGGAATTACAAATTAATAGTTTGAACTTTAGCCTCAAAGCACCTCAAAGTTTGAGGTGCTGCCGGAATTAGTCTCACAATATGCCTAATTTAGTAACACACAGCATCAAAATTCAGGAATTTTGTAGGTTCGAATTCTAAAGGCTTTTGAATAAATATGGCAACCGCAACAGTATGTCACTTTGTGACGTTTCATCCTTGTAATGCTGGCACGTAGGCCTAGCTAGTGTGGCGTTTTGAGAGTGACACAGCAATCAGAACTGGAGTTGCAACTTGCAACTTGCACATACGGTGACATTTTTAAAGTATCCAATATCCATTCATTTCTTGCTACGTCCTTAAATGTGTCGCCAGCGTCGGAATATACTGCATTTACCCTATTTTCTTAGGTACCTGATTTTCAGAAAATTCTAACTTTACAAAGGGTTAACAACTTAACACTGTAAGAGGCACCAATTAGCTAGCTACCTAGGCTATGAATAAATTGCAGGTATATATTTTTTCCTTATTCAGCACTGAATAAATTGGAAACGGATGAAATTGACCAAATTCACATGCATTTTTATCAAATCACATGTGGCTTCTGCCTAGTTTTCCAGTCGCAGTCAAGATTAACCAATTAGGCAGCAACAGCCGAAGCATTACTGATTAGTATTTTTAACATATTAAATACAAATTCTTGGTCAAGATTTATATGCTGGTGTTGTAATTACTTGCTAATAAAATAGGTAAATCAAGTTAGAAGGCGAGGTTGCCCTGGGTCCCGGCGTTAGAGTTGCCAAGGAGCAGAATCAGATATTTGCTCCAGCAGCGTTTCTTTAAACGGACACAAATCAACATAGGTATATTGAAAACACGCAATACTATAAGAATATAATAATTACTAAGCATAAACAAATTCAAATTTTTGTATATAATATGCCAAGAGACAGAGCCTGCCGCCACTCACCAAGCTACGACGTATCGTGGTGAACTTCGCGGATGGTTCTCCGAGAATTCAACACATCATTGTAAACACTGTTTAAAACTGTACTCTCTCTAAAATTCATTTATGACAACTGATAATACTTGTTGAACCAAACAAGCAAGATTTGACATATATTTTCATATTATAGGCGTATGTTATGAAAATAATAGTGATTTTTAATTGCCATCGAGCTTTTCACAAATAATATATGTATGCAATTATTATTTGCGGGAAGGTGGATATTTGTTGGTCTTGGACAAATTTACAACCTACCAGTGATGTTTAACTCACATCTCGGACAAATTTACGGCCGGACTCCAAATTCAGTGAGCAAACGTCTAGGACAAATTTACGGTCGGACCCGCGGCCGGTCTCAGAATTACCTACTATGACGGAATATACCGCGTTTACCCTAGTAAAATAGTACATTTTTACATTGTGTTTAAAAAATTTCCCATTGGGTAGGCCTTAGTGGCAAACCAGAACTTTTTTAGAATCAGTTCATTCTTAATTTCCTCATTTACTTGAGACTTAAGGCAATTACTTTAGTATGATAATGCTGGTAGCCTATCCAAGATACTTTACTGGTCTACTTATAGGACTCAAAAATGAACTTGAGGGAGAGTCAAAAAAACTCTCTGCTTTGCCACTATGGGGTAGGCCTAGGTAGCCTCCTATTTTTTTTACTTGATTTTCAGAAAATTCTCTAACTTTAGCTACAATGGGTTAACAGTAAAGAGCTAAAGAGGCACCAACGCACCAAATCCACCAAAACCAATTACCTACAAATAAATTGCAGGTATACATTTTATATATATATTTTCTTATTCAGCACTGAATAAATTGAAAAGGGATGAAATTGACCAAATTCACATGCATTTTTATCAAATCACATGTGGCTTCTGCGGTTCTGCCTAGTGAGTAGTTTTCCAGTCGGTCAACTTGAGTCAAGATTAACCAATTAGGTAGGCAGCAACAGCCGAAGCATTACTGATTAGTATCTTTGACATACTAAATAAAATAATAAATATTCTTGGTCAAGATTCATATGCTGGTGTTGCAATTACATGCCACTAAAATAGGTAAATCAAGTTAGACGGCGAGGTCCTGCCTTGGGTCCCGGCGTTAGAGCTGCCAGCCTGCCAAGGAGCAGAATCAGACGTTTGCTCCAACAGCGTTTTTTTAAACGGACACGACAACATATATTGAAAACACGCAATAATATAAGTATATAATAATTGATAAACATAAGCAAATTCAAATTTTCGTATATAATAGCCAAGAGACATAGCCTGCCACCACTCACCAAGCTACGACGTATCGTGGTGAACTTCGCGGATGGTTCTCCGAGAATTCAACACATCATTGTAAACACTGTTTAAAACTGTACTCTCTCTAAAATTCATTTATGACAACTGATTGAACCAAATAAGTAAGATTTTACATATATTTTCATATTATAGGCGTATGTTATGAAAATAATAGTGATTTTTAATTGCCATCGAGCTTTTCACAAATAATATATGTATGCAATTATTATTTGCGGGAAGGTGGATATTTGTTGGTCTTGGACAAATTTACAACCTGCCAGTGATGTTTAGCTCACATCTCGGACAAATTTACGGCCGGACTCCAAATTCAGTGAGCAAACGTCTAGGACAAATTTACGGTCGGACCCGCGGCCGGTCTCCAAATTCAGTGCCAATTCAGTGAGCATAGAATATCTCCTAAAGGCTAAAGTAATGAACGTAGCTCGATGAAACTTGGTACACGTAATCATTTGAGCCTAACAATGATGTTTAGCTCGTGACAATTTTTGTCTTACGCTTTCATTCGTAAGTTATATGGCGATACAAGCCGAAATTTGCAGTGAGCATGCCATTTCTTCCAAAGTACTGAACAGATTCGAATGAAATTTTGAATATACATTTCTGAATAACCATCGGTGATATTTAGCTCGTGATCATGTTTTACATTTCACCTTTATTCGTGAACTATACGGAGAAACAGGCCGAAATTTGCAGTGACCAAGACATTTTTTCTAAACTACTGCACAGATTTGAACGAAAATTTGAATATACAATTCTACATTCATAACCGACCAACAGTGATGTTTAGCTTGTAAATTTTTTTATTTTGACTTAGTTTGTGAGTTTTTTTATCATAGCACATTCATCTGTGAGTAATATAGCAAAACGGGCCGAAATTCACAGTGATCAAGACTTTTCTCCTAAACTAATGAACAGATTTGATCAAACTTTTGAATATACATTCCTAACCACCCAACGGCGATGTTTAGTTCGTAGAGACGAAGTAGAACTCGACAATTTGCAATAATACGATAATTATCTGATACGATAATTATGTTGTGATCTTGGTGGTATTGTTAGAATAAGATACGGTTCAGACATCTTGCTAACTTAATAATGTACATATTGTCAACCTTAACCTCTTTAAATGTCAGTGACAGGCTATGTGTATAATAATAGAAACAATAGTCAATATCAGCCAAAAATCATTGTCAACTATAACAACATAATTTGCGGGCGTTTTTATAATACTTTTAAGCCCCGATGAGAACAATTATAAAATAGAACGTTGGAACAGCAACCATAGCACAATTTTGTATTAAACGATACCATTAGTCCCTTATAAGTGCCCGTACAAAGATACATTGATTGACCCCTGTTCATTAATTTTTGAGACATTTCTTGGTCACTGCAAATCTGAAAACCGGTCATAAAATCGGCCTCAGAAATGCCGTATACGGTATATTATAAAATCGTCCGGTCGTTTCATCGTATAGCCGCATATCTCGCAAACCAAGGCAACATCGAAAATATTGACACGAGCTGGACATCACCGTTGGGTGGTTAGAATGTATATTCAAAGTTTCATTCAAATCTGCTCAGTAGTTTGAAAGAAATATCTTGGTCAACGCAAATTTCAGCCCGTTTCACCGTGAGCTCACAAATGAATCTGAAATGGCAAAAATTCTTACGAGCTAAAGACCACCGTTAGATTATAATAAATACGTGTACCAAGCTTCATCGAACTGCGTTCATTAGTTTGGGAGATATTCCTTGATCATTGAATTGGAAGATTTTCTTTGAAGACCGGTCGTGAGTCCGGCCGTAAAATTGTCCGGGACGTGATACGAGACAGCATTGGATACGAGAATTTAGATTTCACAAAGTAATTATAGTACGACTAAAATATCTAACCATTGTAACCAACTATAGAGGTTGCACCTTAAAATTTCTAACCAATAAAATCTTACAATTACCTTTGAATCATTTAATGAATCATTCAGTTATTTGTTACGAATCTTTTAATAATTTCTATCGGACTCCACAAATCAATTCATGGACGAGACTCCTTGGTTTTATTTTTGAGGAAAAGCTACTTGCGTCGATGTAAGCCTGCGCTGCAGTTGATATAATTTATGTAGACGAAATCAATGAAAAAACTTCTTCCACTTCAATTTAATTATTCGCCTCTATTTATATTATAGACGAGTCTAAGTCAACATGCTTCTCAGCCTGAACTATGAAGTATAAGCGTAAAAAGGAGAAAATAGAATATTTCTTATTATAAATACTCATTCATTTTGTTACAGATTTTGAGTTATTTCTTTCCTTGGAATTCTTTTGGCATTTATGAAAGTCCGAATCATGGACGAGTCGTGGTGTAAAAAGATAAGTAGATGTTAACATATTTATCTTTTATTACAACAATAACAGAACAACTGCAACAACAAAAGCATTAATACGAGGAACAATTATTGCTACACACGAGAAAGCAAATTCATTCTTTTTTCTAATTCGAACACATATGTGAATGCTTGGTAAACACCATAACATTTCGTCTTCGAAAGAAACGTTTTTTCTTGCTTCAAATCAAGTTATTAATTAAGCGGAACGATGTATGGTAGAGATTAGACGACGCTCGATCAAGGCACAGAAGGAATTATCAAATTATTTGAATACCTCAAAACAATGCCTATATTTAATAATGAATATATCTGGTAGAAGGAAGAATGGTGGCTTCTTTAAATCTGCCTTAGTTAAAAAACATTGCTGCCTGTGACTTCAAAATTAAAGAATAAGTCAAGCCACCCAGAGATACAAATAAAAAGATTCAGAAATCGAATAGTTAATGCATTAAGTAGTTTAATAAATTATTATATCCTACTCGCTAATAATAAAAAAGTCGGTCAGACATAGGTCAAGAATCCCCGGCACTCAGTGGGAGAGTGTTCGCTTTGCATGCGAAAAGCCCCGGGTTCGATCCCCGGCACCTCCAGTTCTTTTGTTATAGAAATCATGATTCGAGTCAAGCGGGACATTTCAAGTGTTGGCGCGATGCATCCGGAAATATTGTGCGAGAAGGTATTTACACACATGAGTCGAATAAATAAATAACTTTCAATAAATAAATTAGATAAAAGGCAAGAAATCTTTAAAATAGAGTGAAATATCTCAATCATGACATGATAGTTTGTCCACGCGTTATCGAGCGCTCAATATTGTTCTATGGAAGCCAAAATAATATTAAACTCTACCAAAACTGCCTCTCGCGATTGTTTTGCTGATTTAAAGCTCTCGAAATTATCCTGCGTATTTTTTTTGACAGTTGGCTTTTTATTCTGAACGCTTAGCGCGTGAGGCTTTTGTTGTTTGTCGAGTCTTCATCTTTATTACATCAGCTGTTTTACGCTATTAAGTTGCAATGATTTTTGTGAGAGTCGTCATGACGTGAGGAAAACAGATACTGATTTTATAACATGACAACACCAGGCTCTTTGAAACTTGAAATATACATTACAATGATTAAACAAAATAATTCTTATTCGAATCTTTATCTGAGACAACTCGTACGTAATGATCCACTAAAATGACGAAACATTTATAAGGTTTATAAATTTCTGCATATAGTCTTGATTTGAGAAGCTTTTTGTTGTGTGCCCAAAGTCCTCCTTAGAACATCGCAGATCGTCGAACCCGGGGATTGTGAGCCCTGAAATAAAAATGGTTATTAAAATATTGTACACTGAAAATCGATAAACTATGATTATTTTTTGAAAACAACATCTGGTCAAAATTATTAAAACAAAAAGCGACTTGTACTTTTTTAGTATCTCGTAGATAAATCGTGGACTCCCAACATTGGGCTTTTAGCTTTTCCCAACATTGATTACGTCATAGTAAATTAGGTTAAAAAAAACTCACGCGGCGGACTTCGATCCCGGTTAAGGACGAATGTATTTCTTGCCTCCAACCTTCTTGGGCTTGAATGCAGGGACGTCTGGGTTGAATGATGGTTCTTGTTCTACAGCCTCGACAATCTTTTGGACCTCAGCAGAGTTCATTCTTATCTCGGGAATAGATGAATCGTCATCCGCGCTTCTCTTTTTCCTGATGGAGTTGGAGACGACTTCTTCCGGAACAATCGAGCGGTAGACGTAAAATGCAGCAGCAACTGCAGATCCAACTCCTGCCACGAGGGCGACAGGATGTTCCAGAGCTCTTTCTGTGAACGTAGCCTCACTCATGGACTTTTCACCGACTGCGTTGGTTTCAAAAGTATTTGTATTGGAGGTGTTGTCTTCGAGAGGAAGAACGTATTCCAAACTACGAGCGGCGAGAGGACTGTATGATCGGAACTCCTCCCAATACTTGCCCATTTCGTTGCGGGGTACAAGTGCTCCTACGAGAGCAAGGGTTTGTTGCACGAGTACTCGGAAAGGCCACATGATGTCGATTCCTGAAGGAATGTACTCTCTCAGCTCAGCCCTGTCAAGTCGTTCTCCGACATGAGTAAGGTACAAGACGAAGTCACGTACACTGTCAAACACAAATCCTAGCATTTTGGGGGTTACACTCTCAGTAATCACCCTCAAGAGATGATGGGGATCTCCTTGTTCCAGGGCTCCTTCCAGTTCGTATACAGGGATAATGTGACCTAAGGAATCCATAAGTTCAGTTTCTCTAAGCATCTTGATATACTTGAGGAATACTCCCTTCAGCATAGGCCATGCATCTAAATCTTCAGCGGCAATGGAGTTCTCCTTTCTTTGAGCATAGGCTTGTTGGTTGAGCTTTGAGGCAATCTTGAAAACATCTTGAATTATTTCAAACAAATGGTCGAATATGACATTGATTGTCCTTCTTCTTTTCTGCATGGCGGTTCGGTTGGGCTTACCATCTCCTTTATTTGCAGTTGACAAAGTTTTCTTGTTGGAAGTACCAACCACAACCTTAGATATTTCAGTTGAATTTTCAATTTTTTCTTCTTCCACTGGCTGCTGTGGCTCGGCAATTACGGTATCTCCATCTTCGATGACTACTTCATCGTGACGCTCAATTTTTGGTGTGAGTTTACCGTTGCCGTAACCTGAGTACGCAACATGATAGCCTGGCAGGAACGCTTGGTTGCCCCAGTCACTCGGGGACCCGCCAATTTTCCGCCCCGTGATTGGTGCGTGCGCGATGGGCTGAGAGCTCTGGCAACCCACTGCCAGAACCGTCAGCAAGATGGCAACCCTCATTGTGTAGCGAACTGCAAAGAATAAATATCCATAAATACATGACTTTCTTGATCTATCTATTAAAAAATTCTAATTTCTTCCAAGACTAAGTAAATACGTTTCAGGTCGCAAAAACTGTACACCGGTAGTTTTTATAAATAACCTTTGACTGCTTGTGAAATAAGATCGTCACAAAGAAAAAGTTCTCACATCACTTTAAATCTTTGATGTACACCCGCTCGAACATTCTCAGTGACTACAGCAGAAATAAAACTGTAGACAATAAAGTCTTTTTAGTGCATTGGATGTCTGCAACGCAAGGCTGTGCACCTAGGTAGCAACATTCTTCGTTGCTTTCGAATTCGTATATGTTACATATTTTATGAACATAAATAGATAGAGCACAAATGATTAAAACAGTAGAAATCACTCATGAAAAAAAAAAACGCAAGCAAAATGCTGGTAAACGGTAAGGATGGCTGGCACTGTTGATCGTGTACTGACTGCAAGTCATCTTGGTCATGGGGTGACACGTGTTTGCCGTTGCGCTGCTCAGCCGCTGCTGGTGTTTTCCGTGCCAGGAAATAAAAACAGACTTACGGCTACATTAGATCTTGCCGCATTGCTATTCTGGCTCGTTAAATGGACTCAGATGACGTTTTTGAACTGCTTTTGTTTTAGAGTTGAACTTTTTTCACTGATAGTTCTATTGCAATATTCTTACTCATTGCTGTTCGACTGAACTTATATTCGTCAGAAAAATTGGCTGGTTTAGAAAATCAAAATGGACACATTGTTTGACCAATAACTTAAGCACCTTAATAGTACATAATACTATTTTGTTAAGATTACATTAAGTTTTGAACAAAAATTTAACTTGATAGCCAAAATATACTCTTTATTCTACATTGATGGAAATTTTAATAGTAATTTTATTCCCTAATCAAGTAATTATATTCCCTAAATTCTGTGCGTGCAAAAAATGTTCTTTTTCAACCGAGGGGAAATTTTGGTACACGACACGCTTCTTCTCATAGAAATTTTCAGGTTGCAGGAAGATTAAAACGCATGTTTCTCCTCAAATTGGCTACAGAATTCCATCATATTTTATCGGTAACTACGTGTTGATGGATTAAGTTCTTCGAAGTCATTTTGATTAGGAAAAATGTATTAGTTTGCTTTTGTGTGTGTTAGTAACCTGATGCAGTAAATATTTTTGGGCACGGGCCTGACATCTTATTGTTAGTGGTGGAATCAGGAGAATAAAAACGAGTTGGAGTGAATTGGATTGAAAAAATAGACTCAAAGTTTAAATTAAGCAGGTGTAAAAAAATTAAAGTTGATATCACATTTCATATTAGGAGTCATTTGCATGCGTCATGTTGTTTGTTGGTTGGAATAGTTTCGTGATTAATTAACGTTGTATCAATTTGGAAATAGGAAAGAGAGATTGTGAATCGAACCTCGATGTATGATATCGTTGAACCTAACTTTTATAGTCGCTTTGCTCTAGTAGGGTTACCTGGAGAATGCAGCGATATACTCATTGAGTCGTCGGATGAATCAGATTGATTTACATTTTTACATAACGAAGAAAATTAAACGTAAAAATGTACAGTATCAATGACAACATTTGTTATTTGTTTAATATATATAAAAATTCATTATTTACTAATATGATTTCGTTACACGAGACGGTACACAATACATTGTTTTTGTTTACCGTCATAGATCGTCTGCCAAACTCTCGTTTCACAAATCAACTGACAGGAATGCCAGAGCTCGACGAACGCAATTGGCCTCTGGCATCCGCCATCCGAAAACCAATGGGAAAGCTCGAGTCACAATTGTGATCAAGTTTTTCCAACATTCCAGTCCCGTTATTGTTCACTTTTTGTCCAACTTTCAATACGTTCGAGGAACTCCCACGAAAGCGCAACGCTAATAAAATCCATACAGGGAGTTGAACGAGCGATTTTCGAGAGGCGAAAAGAACTATTAAGATTGCTGCGCTTGTATGATACAAGTTTTTAGATGCCCAAATACGTCTTCTTATATGATACGAAACTCGGACGATACTGGAGACAATTGTGTCACTTGATATCGGGCGTACATACCGTTAATTGCATTTCAATGTTCGTTAATGTTTATGAGCTATTCTGATATCGCAATTTAGAAGATGAACCAGATAAGAGGTTGAATATAATATTGATATGATAATTGTGATATCAGCGCTCTGAGTATCAATCAGCACATCAGTTTGAATACTCGTATGAATNCGCCACAATAATGCGTGTCGCCACAATAATGCGTGTCGCCACAATAATGCGTGTTGCCACAATAATGCGTGTCGCCACAATAATGCGTGTCGCCACAATAATGCGTGTTGCCACAATAATGCGTGTTGCCACAATAATGCGTGTTGCCACAATAACAGCATAGCCAGTCATGGTCTGACTATATCCACGATGCTGGCCTTATTCGCTGGAAAATTGAGGTCTCGTTTTAACAGAGCTTTGGCTGCAGTGAACCGAAGCGACCGTTATATTTTTTCGGGGAAATATTGGGTATTGCGGGTAAAAAAATTGCGAGATATTTCGACGCAAATTTGCATGGGGAGCTTAGTTCCCGAGACCGTTATGGAGGAACCATTCTTCAGTCTGTTGGAAAACTGTTCATACGTGAAATTAATAATAATAATAGAGCATGAAATAGAGGTAAAATGATAATAAATATACGACGAAACAAAAAAATTCTCTCATATGGTTTACAATGTTTGGTGAATTCCCGAATTCTATTGGCGAAAAGATGCATAAACATTCAGGTGGCAAAAGAACAGGCGAGAACTGATCGTTTCATGTATGTATACGTTGCTGCATTTATCTTATGGCTTGAGCTTCAAGATCGAGGTGGCGATATATTGATCCGTAAAGTCTTTGAGCAAAAGTCGACCTGTAAATCTGATGAAGCATTTATGCCCGGCCCTGAATAGGTGCGAAATGAACAGCAAGCTGCACTCCTTCTACATACAACCCGGAATTATTTCAAAGAAAAAGCTCTGCTATATTTGCTCATATGATTTTTTATGAATCTTAGTCGCCTAGCATATTTTTATTGCATATAATTTCAGCATTAAAAATTTGTTCCTTCCACGCAACGAAAATCGAATGTAATTCGCGGAAAATTTAACGATGAAGTTTGCAGGAATAGAGCAAGAAAAATTTATTTCCCTTGTTGAGGACTAAGACGCTTCTCAACATAATGGAAAATGAGGAAGAAAAAGAAAATTTTAGGGAAAAATCACATATAAATATTTATAAAATAAACTAGTTGCACACTCTGTCCTCTAGCATCGATATAATGGACTAAATTGAATTTACCTTATCCAGAAAAAATTTAATATATGAAGTTTATCGTTTTCAACATATTTCTTGTTAATAAATTTACATATTAATTTTGATTATTAGTCATGTATTTAATATGTTGCGAATTTCTTCCTCTGACGAGCCAAATGTGGGTAGAATTTCTGTGAAGAATGTGCACATATTTCATATTGATTTCATCGACTGACAGTACTTATTTTAGTACTTATATTGTTATTATTTGGTTAGTTTTCATTGTTAAGTTACACTATTATTGGCGATCGAATTCCGAAGGCTGTTTAAATCTTTAAATCAGCCAATCGACTTACAGAAACTGAAAATGTAAGTGGAATGAAGTAAGAAATCAAGGTCTAGCTGCTTAGAAGAAAGAAGCCTCAAAATTCAATATTGATAAAAATGCAGTCTGAGCTTGCACTATTAAAGTTTGAATGCCCCGTTTAAGGATAAATACTATGGCAAGACTAGCGAGAGATGATGAGCATTAGCAACAACTACAGATCTCCATAGCCATCACTTAAAAGCTTAAAGACTAATAAGAAAAGTTGAAAAAACTAGTCTAGGCAAAAAGTATGATTTATTTGCAAGATCAGCTCAATAATCAACGAGTTTGGGTGTTCGGTTAGAGGTCCCAACCGGTTTCGCTGGACAACTACAACCGGACGATCAGTGTCAGCAAGTTGACCGAAAAAACCGTCGAGATAATCTAATCAGTCATAGACCGGGCCAGGCATGTGTGCACTGTGTAGTTCTCTCCACTGAAAGGCAAACGGACCACTGAAAACTTTCGATTTCTACTGTCTTGGTCTTCAAGTATGGCTTTAGTGATTTCTATACCTGGGTCTTAGAGTATGGCTTTAGTCAGAAAGATTTCTATACCTGGGTCTTTGAGTATGGCTTAAGTCAGAACGATTTCTATACCTGCATGGGTCTGTGCATATTGTGGCTGCTGACCAAACGATTTCTATACCTGGGTCTTAGAGTATGGCCTACGTCAGAACGATTTCTATACCTGGGTCTTTATAGAGTATGGCCTACGTCAGAACGATTTCTATACCTGGGTCTTAGAGTATGGCCTACGTCAGAACGATTTCTATACCTGGGTCTTAGAGTATGGCCTACGTCAGAACGATTTCTATACCTGGTTCTTAGAGTATGGCCTACGTCAGAACGATTTCTATACCTGAGAGTGGAATTCAGAAAGCGTTTATATGCATGAAATCTTGTCCTATATTTCATCCTGAATCCTCATGGGAGCAAGAAAAAACTATGTGTCCTTTAGTTTTGATTTTATCTTGCAAAATTACCGGTCCATAATTTTTATCTGCCGATAAACTGAGATAAATGTTGCTTTTATCATTATTGGCTACAAGAAAATAATTGTTTAACATAATAAAGTTCCGCTAAAGGCAGGTTTCGCATCGTTTCGATGTAGTTTCATTTATGTTATCAGAAGAATACGGTAATGGCGATGATCATGAACCTTATTTATGACCAGCGTAAAAACAACGTAAAATTGGCTGTTTGCTTGATATTATGCATGTATAGAGGTCATAAATTACAAAATATTATAAATAATATTCGTTATAAATTATAAATGAACACCGATTGCAATCAATATGTTTTGCTGACGTAAAATTTAAGCCATAAT